CAGATTTGAAGTCATGAGACTTGAGCAGGTGGTGCAGAATAGGTCCCAAAAAATGAATATGAAATAATAAAAGCAAAAAATAAAGTTTGAAAATTTGTGAAAAAATTAAAAATAAACTTGATTTTTCTCAAAAAGATTTGATATTCATTTTGGGAGAGCGAGAGTGCTGAGAGAAAGAAAGAATGGAAAATGGGAAGAATGATTGTAAATGAAAATTTAGGAAAAAGTGGTTACCAGATAGTTTTAACCAGTTGTTGAGTGGGGCATTCACCAACTCACATTGCAGTAAAGCACTAAAATTTACTGTTTTGACTCCAATCTGGACAACCAACCTGGCGCAACCTTTTTTGGTTCCAATTTTTTTTCATTTATAATCATTCTTGCCATGTTCCACTCTTTGTTTCTCCCAGCACTCTCACTCCCCCAAAATGAATTTCAAAGCTTTTGAGAAAGGGCCTTAATAAAAAAACGCGGGTTTTCCGCGTTTTGACGCGGTTTTGGCTGCGCGCAGCACACGCGGTTTCCGCATTTAGACGCGGTTTTTTAATTCATTTTTTATGGGTTATTTTTTGAGTTTTTTTGAATTTTTAAAATTGTTTCCTAGGTTTCAAAGCGCGTAGAATTTAATGGTAAAAACCATTTTCCATAAAAATGAGTTTTAATTATTAATTTTTTTTTTCTACTCATTTTTTCCATTAATTGTATGCATACTTGTTTTTACCTTATTTTTTATGCTTTTTTGAAATTTTAAAATTATTTCCTAGGTTTCAATGTGCGTAGAATTTAATGGTGCAATCCATTTTTTTTAAAACTCAACGGTTGATTTTTAATACTGAAATTAGACCCATTTTTTCTCTTATTTTTTTACAGCTTAATTCTTATCATTTTTTGACATTTTAAATTTATTTCCTACACTTCAAGACATGTATAAAATTATGGTAACAGCAATTTTTCTCCAAAGTGAAAAATATACCTTGAATGCCGCATTTGACATGTTTTTCAATTAATTCATCACTTTTTCACTTAATTGTTTGCATACATGTGTGTACCTTATTTTTTATGCTTTTTTGAAATTTTAAATTTTTTTCCTACATTAAAAAGTGTGTAGAATTCAATGGTATAATTCAATTTCCATTAAACGCCAACAGTTCATGCTGAATACTGTAATTAGCCATACTTTTCAATTGATTTTCAAGAGCTTAATTTTCATTATTTTTTGACATTTTAAATTTGTTTCCCACACTTTTAGACATGATTAAAATGACGGTAACTATCATTTTTCATAAAAACCAAAGAATGTTATTGAATACTGCGTTGGACATGTTTTTTTTAATGTTTTGTTAATTGCTTGTTACCGGCTTGATTTTAAGCATTTTTTGAAATTTTAAATTCATTTCCTCCATTTAAAAATGTGTAAAATTGAATGGTGAAGTCCAATTTCCCTACAAATACAAGCTTCAATCTTAATACATGAGTGTACCCCGTTTCTTGCACAATTTGTAACGTATACAAATTTTGTTTGAATGAAAAATGGATAGAGCCAACAATTTTGAAACCTCTAAAAGTGTAGGAAATGAGCTTGAAATTCCAAAAAATAAGGATAATTGAGCGTGTAAGAATTAATTCAGGAAACACATCAAAGGCATTATTCAAGATATAGTTTTCATTTTGATGAAAATTCATTGTTACCATAATTTTATACATGTTTGAAAGTGTAGTAAACAAATTTCAAATGTCAAAAAATAATGAAAATTAAGCTCTTAAAAATCAATTGAAAAATATGACTAATTACAGTATCCAGAATGAACCGTTGAGTTTTATGGGAATTGAATGTTACCATTAAATTTTACACACGTTTAAATGTAGGAAACAACTTTAAAATTTCAAAAAAGCATAAAATATAAGGTAAAAAAACTAACACAAACAATTGAGTGGAAAGTGATAATTCAATTAAAAAACGGTGTCAAATGCAGTATTCAAGAGGTATTTTTCGTTTTGGGGAAAAAATTTTGATACCATCATTTTATACACGTCTTAAAGTGTGGGAAATAAATTGACCACCTCCTTCAAGGATGGGAAGTAAGCTGTT